GGCGAACCACCGCTGCTACGCCTTCTCCAACGGGACGAGCTCAGACGTGCGCTGCCTGCTCGCAAACGCAGAGCTGAGCGGCAGCTTCGTGGACACCGTGGTCGTGGACGACATGCCGTCGCCCGTCTTCAAGCCGCACGCCGCGACGTACGCCTATCTGATGGAGCGGGCAGGCTCCTCGGAGGAGGACACGTGGCTCGTCTCGAGCAACCCGTTCGACATCCTCGGCGCCGCCGCGTGCGGCTGGAGGACGGCGTGGATGAAGCGCGGCGAGCGGCCGAACTACGTCATGGATCCGTGGGCAGACAGCCCGGGCCCAACCGTCGTCGTGAGCTCCTTCTTGGAGCTGGCGGACGCAGTGGCGAGCCACCCTCCCCGCGGGGCGTGACCATGCAAGTTGCAAGCGCCATACCCCATACCGCGTGTACGGAACTGTGAGACTTGGATTGCGTGGCGTACTGTAGCCGCGCTGTACAGTGGTATGTAGTACGTGCACAGAGACCTCCCTCCGAGCACCGTACGCGAGTCTCGCTCTGTCGCTCAGCTAGTCCGCGCGCGGCGCCGCGCAACACAGGTGCAACACTCTCGAGTCTCGACGCGGTAGCGCCACGTTGCGCGCGCGTTCGGGGTTGGCCGCCGGTTTGCGCGGTGTGCGTGTGTGTGCGTCGGAGCTGTTCGCGGTCGCGTAAAACGCTAAGCGCGCTGCGGACAAATGTCAAATCTCGTTGAGAATCGATCGGCGCGTCCCGCGTCGCTGACGTGTGGTGCGAGCCCTAGGTAGTCTGGCCGATTTTTTTGCGGTATCTTGTTCTTGATGTATCTCTCCATATCTGACCGTATCCCGCCATATCCCGCCATATCCCGCCATATCCCGCCATATCCCGCCGTATCCTGCCCGCCTCACGCCGAGCAGCCCGGCCTCTCCGCGCTCCGGCCGCAGAGCGCGACGGCAAAAAAGAAACTTAGACGTCGCGTGCGCTCGAAAAGGGGAGAATGATATGTGCTCGACAAGCGGGGCCGTCGAAGCGCGAAGTTCGCCCGTCGCGTCCGATTTGCGGTTTCACGCTTCACGGACGTTGTCGTGAACACATCGTGGGGGCTCCGTATCTCATCATATCCGCGTGTATCTCCCGGTATCCCGCCATATCCCGCCATATCCCGCCATATCCCGCCATATCCCGCCATATCCCGCCGCGGATACCGCGAAAAAATCGGCCAGACTAGGGATGGTGCGCGTCTGCTGGGCGTTTTTTTTGTGGATTGGGTGTGCCTGGGTCCGGATCCTGGCCTGGTCCGCTAGCACGCTCTGGCCCTTCTCGCTTCTGCGTTCTGGCACCAGAGCGGGAGCACCGAGCGCGCACCGCCGCGCTCTCCCTCCCCCACCTCGCCGCCTGCCAAATCTCCGCGGCCGTCTGCGCCTGCTTCCGGGTATGACTCCGAGCTCGAAAATTTTCCGACGCTGAGGCGCGGGATAGGGTGGCAGGGGTTGTGCACGAGAGCACGACGCAAGTGCAGCAGGCTGTGATCGGCAATATCCAATAAATTAATGGCTATGACGACGAGCTCTACCAGGCATGGAGGGACGGCGAGATAGGCGAAAAGGACTTGCCGGAGGAGGTGATGGCTATGACTTTGGACCTTTTTGCGAGAGGTGGCGAGCGGAGCAAGCGCGGTGTAGGCGCGCCCACGCGGCGCAGCGCGGCTCTCCCGCGACCATAGCCCCAACTCTTGCTGCTCTTCTAGTGTCGGGTAGTTACCAGGGGTGAGCGGGGACGGATTGAGAAGATCCCTCACACCAAGATCGTGCAGGGCGGGGACACATGTCCCTAAATCCCATCTCGTCTCAGAGTTTGACCGTTTTTATTTATTTATTTCCGCTAGAGCGGTAGAGGAGAGCGCGCTGGGCCGCTGCGCGCTGGCCGCTGAGCTGTCTCCCTCTCTTGCCTCTATGTGTCCGACAGTCGACTCACGACTTTCGTGCGCGGTGGAGTCTGGAGACACAGTAATACACGAGACATCACATGCGACAGCGCGCGCGATGCGCGACAATAGGGGTTTCAAGGACGACGTCACGACTAAAGGCGTCGACTCGACACAGAGAGCGCCAGTCCTCTGCAGCTCAGAGGCCTCTCCCCCACCGGCGGGCGGCTGGGCGCTAGAAATTTCTCGAGAAGTGCTTGATCTCGTTCATCAGCGTGGGGATGGAGAGGATGTACTGCGCGAAGGGCGGCCCGTGCGGGAAGGCTTGCTTGACGAGGTCGAGGAAGCGCGTGTAGTAGAGCAGGAGCTGGGTGAGCACTTGCTTGAGGATGTCCATCCCGAGCTTGAAGTTGGAGAAGGACTGGACCACGTCGCGGTGGATCGCCTCGATGCCCGCCTTCCACTTGTCGTAAAACTCGCGCGTGAGGTGCTCCATCGCCCCCTTGTCCACCTTGGCCGCGTCCTCGGGCGGCGCGCCGGGCACGAGCAGGGGCTCGGCCTGCTTGACGAAGCTGATCATCTTGCCGTTGTCGGCGAGGAGCTGCTCCTCCACGAAGACCGTCTTGACCTGCGGGGCGGAGAAGGGGGCGGAGGGGAGGGCGGAGGCCGGCGTCGGCAGGTGCGTGTGTGGAGCGGGGAGGTGTGTGGAGGCGGTAGGTGTGTGGAGGCGGGGAGGTGTGTGGAGGCGGGAGGTGTGTGGAGCGGGGAGGTGTGTGGAGGCGGGAGGTGTGTGGAGCGGGGAGGTGTGTGAGTCGGGGAGTGTTTGGAGCGGGGAGGTGTGTGAAGCGGGGAAGTGAGCGGGCGGGCGGTCGCCTGGTCGAGGAGCTGCTCGAAGTGGGTCGACTCCTCTCCCCTGGCGCCGCGCTCGGCGAGGGTGTGGACGACGAGGTCGTAGTTGTTGATGAGCAGCGCCGCCTGGTGCTTGAGGGTCGGGTGCTGCCTCGCGAGTCGCTCGGAGAGGAGCTTCTCGACCTAACAGAGAGAGAGAGCAAGCCTCGAGAAGGAGGAGACCGGGAGCCGCGGCTGTGAGAGAGGAGCGCGACCTCGGTCCACAGCACGCGCAGGATGGAGCCAAGCATCGGCTCGACCGACGCAACCTTGAGGCTGCGCAGCGACGCGACCAGCTCCGCGTACCGGCGGGCGACGTAGTGCGGCGCGGTCTCGGGCGCCTGACCGCGCGCCACCAGCCTTCCGGTGAGCGGGCGAGGGGGGGGGGGGGCGAGGGTGTTCCTTGCGAGGGGCGGTGCGGGCGAGGCGCGGCGCC